ATAAACTAAATCTATTTGCCCAATCAGGCCATTAGAAATAATCATTAGTGTTTAGCCCTGTATAAGTCAAATATTTCATTCTTGATGGTCTTAAAAGGATCTTAAAGTCTTAAATTTGACTTGATGAAACCTACACAAACCCTGTCCAAGTAGATGATGCACACTGGTGGTGGTGTGGACAGATGGCTATACATGATACATGCTCTAGATCAGTGGTTCTTAAACCTTTTCCATCAAGTACCACCTCAGAAAACGATCATCTCTCCAAGTACCACCATAATGACCAGTATTAAAATACAGTAGTGTAGTAGGCCTAATTAAGCACCTACAGCTCTGCACAGTTTAATTCATATTAATTAATATTATTAAGAATATTTATTATTGTCAGCCACTTTAAATATTATAATTAGTATGAACATTAAGACTGTATTGTGCTTACAGATTAAAAAAACAAAACAAAAAAAAAACAGCCAAAATAAAATGTCAACGATTTGATTATATGGGCTTTTTAAAGTTAAATAAAAATGGTTGGCTACTGCTGTTAAAAAAATGTAAATCTCCTGACTTATGCAAAGTATTTACATAAAGTAGCCTATTCATCAACCTGAAAATGTTGCCTGGGCCTCATAAATATAGGCTATATGTCATCATATTCATATATAAATCATTTGTGATAATCTTTGAAATATATCTTGCATGTATATTTGACATATTTGATTCCTCCACGTATCGCTAGAAGGAAGCCTGAGTATCACTTGTGGTACACGTACTACAGTTTAAAAAACCACTGCTCTAGATAAATGCACTTCACATTACATTAACTTTACAATTTGTTGTCCCAGCTAATTGTTCCAGTCTTTTTGGATTTGACCATTAACATTAAGTTTATACCATCAAAATTTTGAGCTGCGCTTAGTGAGGTTTGCATTTTGAATTTAAATTCTGATTGGCAATTTATAATGCATTTAAAGAAATGTATTAGCTTTAGGCATACTGTACTGTATGTATGCAGCTTTATTACTGTACACAGATCAGGAGCGATACTAGACCTACTCTGAACATGGCCAACTTGTCAGACTTCATATTAAATGCCAAGTGCATTACATTATGGTTTAAGCCAGTGTTTCTCAACCATGTTCCTTTAGGACCACCAGCACTGCACATTTTCCCTGGTCTCATTAACCAAACACACCTGATTCAGATCGTCTGCTCATTAGCAGAGACTGAAAGACCTGTAATGGCTATTACAAAGCAGACATCCAAAACATGCAGTGTTGGTGGTCCTCCAGGAACGTGGTTGAGAAACACTGGTTTATACTATGCCATGCACTGTTCCCTGTGGTATAATATACAATATTATAGACTGAAAGATCCGCTGTAAATGCTGCTCTCAGAGTGTAAACATGTAAACACCACAATCAAACAAGTACTGTCGTCTAGGATTTTCGCCGCATTTTGTGACCACAATAACACACACACACGGCTTTCTGACACTACCTACCGAGTGCATTTAAGTTACCAAGAAATGCGGAGGGGTTTTTTTTCTCTCCTTTTCGCCGTGCGATATCAAACTTTCCATTAAAACTGCACTCTTCCAGCAGTTCCTCGCATCCAATATCTCGTTTGCACAGGGGCATGCAGGAAATGTTCCTGAATGAAAGTGAAAGAGCCAAACTGCAGTTAAAGTTGACAAAATAATAATTTGCCAAGTCGATTACTGACGTTCATGTAAACAGTCACTGTCCTTCTCCCCTGCGTCTGGGTTGTTTTGCCTCTGTGAAAATCAGCGCGTGCTCGAACCGAAAACTCCCATCCCACTTTCCCTTCCCCAACACTCCCACCTAAACAAAGCTAGCTTTAGCGTTAACTAACATGAACAAATACTGTAGTAAATGTAGGGTTCATTGTTTGTTCGTGTTAGTAAATGCGTTAACTAACATTAACTAATACAACCTTATTGTAAAGTGTTTAATTCAGAGTTTAACAGTGTTTAAAGTATAATTCAGGCATGACCAACCCTGTTCCTGGAGATCGACCTCCCTGCAGATTTCAGTTGCAATATCAAACACACCTGCCTGTAATTATCAAGTGCTGTTCAGGTCCTGATTAATTGGTTCAGGTGTGTTTGATCAGGGTTGGAGCTGAACTTTGCAGGAAGGTTCATCCCCAGGAACAGGGTTGAGCACCTCTGGTTTAATTCATGCATTCATTTCTTAATAAAAGCAAGACAAAATCCAAAGGAAGCACTATGTAGCGGGCAGACATTTATTTCAGCTCATTCCCTCTGTTAATACAAAACCACTAAATGAACACGTACACACAACACGATTTCTAAACGCTACAAAACATGCACAAATTTACACAATTTCCCTTTTTCTCCTGCCTGATTCATTGACAGTTTTATATAAGGCAATCTTTGGGCTGGAACCCTGACCATTTAGGAAAAAAAAAAAAAAAAAAAAAACAGAAGAACTTCTGCAGTTCAGGTGAGCAAACCCAATTCAACATTAATGAAATCTCTCAAGTTAGCCTTGAAGTACGTTTTGATTTCAGTTGACATTCAGATAAGTGCTGATTTGGTAGATTTTGGCTAGCATTTACTTAGGGGTGGTTGCTTTTTGTGTAATACTGTGTACAGCCTGATTCCCAAAGCAAATGGTTTTTATTTGGTGTAAACGGTGCTTTTGACGAGGTAAATCAAGTCCTGTGCATTAAATATAAAGATTTAGCATTCAATAAATAAAATCCCTGTTTTGATATGCACTGTTAAAAATATCTGTTAATTAACGGTGTTCCTGTATTTTGTTTTTCCGTCTATTCCAGGGGTCACCAATCCTGGTCCTGGAGGGCCGGTGTCCCTGCAGGGTTTAGCTCCAACTTGCCTCAACACACCTGCCTGGATGTTTCAAGTATACCAAGTAAGAGCTTGATTAGCTTGTTCAGGTATGTTTGATTAGGGTTTGAGCAAAAATCTGCAGGACACCGGCCCTCCAGGAACAAGTTTGGTGACCACTGGTCTATTCTGTCGACTTCCGAAAGTCTGCAGACTTTCATTGACATTTTAGTAGCTTAAGATAATGTTTAAGAAGTAACATATAGAGAAATAAGTCTGTAAGATAACAGAAAATGTACTGGCAGTTTATTACAAGGTTTTTGTACTGTAATATACACTCACCGGCCACTTTATTAGGTACGCCTTACTAGTACTGGATTGGACCCCCTTTTGCCTTCAGAACTGCTGAACAAGATACTGCAAATATTCCTCAGAGATTTTGGTCCATTTTGACATGATAGCATTACGCAGTCCCTGCAGATTTGCCGGCTGCACGTCTATGATGCAAATCTCCCGTTCCACCACATCCCAAAGGTGCTCTATTGGATTGTGATCTGGTCACTGTGGAGGCCATTTGAGTACAGTAAACTCATTGTCATGTTCAAGAAAAGTCTGAGATGATTCACGCTTTATGATATGGCGTGTTATGTTGCTGGAAGTATCAATCAGAAGATGGGTACACTGCTTATAAAGGGATGGACATGATCAACAGCAATACTCAGGTAGGCTGTGGCATTGAAGCGATGCTCAATTGGTACTAATGGGCCCAAAGTGTGCCAAGAAAATATCCCCCACACCATTACACAACCACCACCAGCCTGAACCGTTAATACAAGGCAGGATGGATCCATCCTTTCATGGTTTTGACACCAAATTCTGACCCTACCATCCCAATGTCGCTGCAGAAATCGAGACTCATCAGACCAGTCAACGTTTCTCCAATCTTTATTGTCCAATTTTGGTGAGCCTGAGTGAGTTGTAGCCTCAGTCTCTTGTTCTTAGCTGACAGGAGTGACACCCGGTGTGTTCTTCTGCTGCTGTTGCCCATCCTCCTCAAGGTTGACTGCAATTAGAGATGCTCTTCTGCATATCTCGGTTGGAACGAGTGGTTATATGAGTCACTGTTGCCTTTCGATCAGCTAAACCCTGTCTGGCCATTCCCCTCTGACTTCTGGCATCAACAAGGCATTTGCACCCACAAAACTGCCGCTCACTGGATATTTTCTCTTTTTCGGAGCATTCTCTGTAAATAGAGAAGGTTGTGTGTGAAAGTCCCAGTTGATCAGCAGTTTCTGAAATACTCAGACCAGCCCGTCTGGCACCAACAACCATGCCATGTTCAAAGTCGCTTAAATCATCTTTCTTCCCCGTTCTGATGTCCGGTTTGAACTGCATCAGATCGTCTTGATCTTGTCTACATGCCTAAATGCATAGAGTTGCTGCCATGTGATTGGCCGATAAGAAATTTCCGTTAACAAGCGGTTGGACAGGTGTACCTAATAAAGTGGCCGGTAAGTCAACCCAGATAACAAATCATTTTAAACAATTAAAAATGTAAAAACAAAAGTCACTTTTTCCAACTTTTTAAGCTTAAAACTTGTCAGAAGAATCTCATAATGTGATTTAAAATAAATAAATGGTAAAATAAAACACGAATCACAAAATACAGAAAACTGCCAATACACGGATATTTTTTCACAGTGTGGGGCAGAAAGTCGGATTTCCTACCAGTTAACAGTCTTAAGTTTCACGTTTCCGAAGTTCCTGCATCCACTTTAATCCACTTATTTCATGATCCTCACGTAGTATTTTTTTACCGAATAAATACGAAATGAATGAGATCTAAATCTAGCCGGCGTGTTCTTATATGCCTATAGCATGGCGTTCCCTGGAATGGACTGGCATTATGTGTGGATTTGGGAGGAATTATGGGAAAGGCCAGTGTTAATACACGAGGGGGAAGCAAGGCAGAGGAAGTGTGTCATGTGACCTCGTCCTTTTTGCGTCTACATGAGCTCTGAATCACGATAAAGCAGCTGAGATGGTGGATGTGCGGATGTGAGGTTTGTCTTCCTCTCTCATGGCTTTTCCTGCTCCCTCAGAAGGTGCCAGAAGCAGTAAAACGCCTTCCGATGTACACCCTACAAAGAGAAAGAGCTTGTCACATTCATTATGCATGATGGATTGATAATTGAAATCAGAATTATTAGGCTCCCTGTTTATTAGTTTTCCAAAATGTCTGTTTAAAGGAAAGCAGATCTTAGTTTCACCACATTTCTAAACATTCATTCATTCGTTATCCTTCAGATTAGTCCCTTGAAATAATATCATGTATAAAAGAAAATAATCTATAGAGACATGCAAGTCTGTAATATAACATAAAATGTATTGGCAGTTTTTTTTACCCTTAATATACCCTCACTGGCCATTTTATTAGGTACACCTTACTAGTACCAGGTTGGACCCCTTTTTGCCTTCAGAACTTCCTTAATCCTTCGTGGCATAGATTCAACAAGATACTGGAAATATTCCGGAGAGATTTTGCTCCATATTGACATGATAGCATCAAGCAGTTGCTGCAGATGTTTTGGCTGCATATCCATGATGCGAATCTCCCTTTCCACCACATCCCGAAGGTGCTCTATTGGATTCACTCATTCATTTTTGTTTGGCTTAGTCCCTTATTTATCAGGGGTTGCCACAGTGGAATGAACTGCCAACTATTCCAGCATATGTTTTACACAGCGGATGCCAGTACTGGGAAAATTTACCAACAGTTAACTCTCTGGGGTCTGAGGGTGTTTTGGGGCTGTGGAGAAGTTTTGACTTGCACTGACATTTGTGTTGTTTTCAGTATCTTAAAAACATATTAATGGCTAAAGTGTGATAACGCTGTAAACAGCACAAGCTGGGCTACAATAATACCTAAGCAGCATGTTTGTATGTGTTTGTGTTTTTAAGAAAGAAACGTTTATGCGTGGTTAGTGAAAAACTAAAATTTTGAAGTCATTGAAATAAGGCCGTGAGAAACACAGAGAACATTTGTTCACATGACTTTTAAGAGCTGGACCTTGTAGCCTAGTGTTTTTGCTTAAATGATGTAAGAATCATCTTGTTGTACTTTCTCACAGAAAACATTATATTGAATTTAAATTTCTGAGTGAAAATGGTCTATGCGAGAAGGCGTGAACTATCATTACTAATGCAGTGAGATTAAAGACTCTGTCTATCTGTTTAAAGTCTGTGTGAAATCAAAATGAACAATGTTTATCTTGCTAGCGCACATTGTTATTTTTTTAGGTCAGCGGTGTCCAAACTCTGTCCTGGAGGGCCGGGGTCCTGGAGAGATTAGCTCTAACCCTAATCAAACACACTTGAATCAGCTAGTCAAGCTCTTACTAGATATAGTAGAAACTACCGGGCAGGTGTGTTGAAGCAAGTTAGAGCTAAACTATCCAGGACACCGGCCCTCCAGAACTAACAATTATTCCATACAAATTAATCCACTGAAAAAAAAATGTTTAAGGTAATCTTCAATAAAATCTGACCATTTGCTTATTCCTTTGGACAGTAAATAATATGTGTCTAGATATTTTTCAAGACACTTCTATAAAAATTAAAGTGACATTTAAAGGCTTAACTAGGTTAATTAGGGTAACTAGGCAGGTTAGGGTGATTAGGCAAGTCATTGTTTGATGGTTTGTTCTATAAACTATAAAAATAAATACTGCTTAAGGGGGCTAATAATATTAAAAATACCTTAAAATCATTTTTTTTTTAAATCAAAAACTGCTTTCTTGCCGAAATAAAACAAATAAGACTTTCTCCAGAAGAAAAAATATTGTAGGAAATACTGTAAAAAATTTCTTCCTTTGTTAAACATCAATTGGGAAATATTTGAAAAAGCGCTAATAATTTCGACTTCAACTCTTTTAGCTTGATCTCTAGTATTTGTTCAGCTCCAGGTTTCTCCTGCAGGTTCATTTTTCCATTCTCCTGCTGCTTTTGAGAGTGGTTGTAAATCAGTGGACTTGTGTTAGCGTCAGCAGAGCTGTGAGCTATCAGTGGAAAACTGCTAAGTCATGCTAACCCCTGCAGAGTACACTAGCATGCATTCCAGCACGCAGAGAGCATCCATTGCTGACCCACATGAGCTGGGCTAAAAATACTCCTTTATGTGCTGCTATTAGTATACAGATATAGATTAACATGAGGCTTAAAACAATGTACATCCTCATTGCTTTGAGGTTGAAAGGGTGTGGCTGTTGTGTTTCAGTCAATTAAAAACCATCCACAAGTACACAAATACTCTGGTCCCTAGATATGATTAATAGTATATAGAAAACAAAGTGTTTAGCATAGTTAAGTACACCCTTATTTTGAAAATGAATATTTTTATCAATATTTCTGTGAATATAGGCAATGTATTTTGGTGCATTTAAACAGATTTATTATACAGATATATGTATTAAAATATAATTTTAGTCATCAAGCATATTTAGAAATTGAAAGATTCAAGCAAATTCAAGCAAAAAATAAAATAAAAATTACACCCTACAAAATTTCAACTAAATTTTTCAATTTTTCGCTTCTCTTGATTTCTTTTCTTATTTTTACATTTGTGTTTAGTCATTTTTTCGAACATAAATTTGGGTTTACTTTTTGGAGGGTTATCGTGAGTTATTTTGTTAGATAAGCTCCAGATTTGGCTTCAGTACTGGCTATTCTAACGTATATGTTCAGATATAATATTGTAAAGCATCCTATTGACCTTATTCTAAAATGCGGAAGTGCGCCTGTTTTCGCGATTGTTTTAGAACTTCCGATTCAGTCGCCTATGGGAGAAATGACTAGTATAATAATAATAATAAATGAGTAATAAATAGAATAATAGAATAATAAATGGCAGAAAACGGTCAAACTACTTTTTGTACAAACAAATGTTAGCTTGACTATACAGACCAAGTAGACTAATATAAGAAGAAAATATCAGTTTGCAACATCAAACAGCAAAACGAGCAGTTTTTAATGTCTAAAAATTAATGGAAGTGAATGAGAACTTAGGTCTCGAGCCCAAAATATTTAAATGGCTGCGCCCACTCGTCGGCGAAGAATAAGGTGAATAGAAAATATTCATTTAAATAAGTTTTGTGAGGGGTGTACGCATATATGCTGAGCACTGTGTGTGTGTATGCACACAAAAGTTTTGTTGCCAATCCAAGTTTTAGGAACAACACATAATAACTGGACTTCTAGTTGATCATTTGGTATTGGAAGTGGCTTATATGAAAGGCAAAGGCCTCTAGATTACGCTTATTTTACCAAAATAAAATATGATCATGCCTTGATTTTTAATTATTTTAATAGGACAGTAAGGTCTGAGTTTGTTTAGACAAAAGTCTTCTCACTTAACAGAAATAATGTACAGTATATAATATAAAGTCATGCTGCAGTGTAAGTAAAATAATGAATATTGTGTATGACTCTCATGAGCTTGGAGGACTGCATCCATACGTCTCTGCAATGACTCAAATCACTGATTAATAAAGTCATCTGGAATGGCAAAGAAAGCGTTCAAGCAGGACTCCCAGAGTTCATCAAGATTCTTTGGGATTCATCTTCAATGCCTCCTCCTTCATCTTACCCCAGATATGCTCAATAATGTTCATGTCTGGTGACTGGGCTGGTTAATCCTGGAGCACCTTGACCTTCTTTGCTTTCAGGAGCTTTGATGTGGAGGCTGAAGTATGAGAAGGAGCGCTATCCTGCTGAAGAATTTGCCCTCTCCTGTGGTTTGTAATGCAATGGGCAGCACAAATGTCTTGATACCTCAGAGTGTTGATGTTGCCATCCACTCTGCAGATCTCTCACACACCCCCATATTGAATGTAACTCCAAACCATAATATTTCCTTCACCAAACTTGACTGATTTCTGTGAGAATCTTGTTTCCATGCCGGTTCCAATAGGTCTTCTGCAGTATTTGTGATGATTGGGATGCAGTTCAACAGGAAAAATGTACCTTCTGCTACTTTTCCAAATCTTACAACTGGGATCGATGATGAAAGACTTTTGTCAGGTAGTTTATATATATATATGGTTTTTCTTTGTATCTATTTTTATCAAGTTTTATTTATGTATATTTTAATTTTACTTCAATTTAAAGAAACAACCAGGACTATTAATAAGCTAAAACCCTAAAAAAATATTTTCATTATTAATTTTCATTTAAGGCGAGGCAGTGGCGCAGTAGGTAGTGCTGTCGCCTCACAGCAAGGAGGTCGCTGGGTCGCTGGTTCGAACCTTGGCTCAGTTGGCGTTTCTGTGTGGAGTTTTCATGTTCTCCCTGCCTTCGCGTGGGTTTCCTCCGGGTGCTTTGGTTTCCCCCACAGTCCAAAGACATGAGGTACAGGTGAATTGGGTAAGCTAAATGGACCGTAGTGTATGAGTGTGTGTGTGAACGTGAGTGTGGATGTTTCCCAGAGATGGGTTGCGGCTGGAAGGGCATCCGCTGCGTAAAAACTTGCTGGATAAGTTGGCGGTTCATTCCCCTGTGGCGACCCCGGATTAATAAAGGGACTAAGCCGACAAAAAAATGAATGAATGAATTTTCATTTAATAAATCAAAATACCAAAGCTTTAACATACAGTTGAAGTCAATTTTATTAGCCCCCTTTTGATTTTTTGATTTTTATTTTATTTAAATATTTCCAAAATTATGTTTAACAGATTAAGGACATTTTCACAGTATGTCTGATAATAATTTTTCTTCTGGAGAAAGCCTTATTTGTTTAATTTCGGCTAGAATAGAAGAAGTTTTTAATTTTTTAAAAGCCATTTCAGGGGCAAAATTATTAGCCCTTTTAAGCTTTTTTTTTTTTTCGATAGTCTACAGAACAAACCATCATTATACAATAACTTGCCTAACCTAGTTTAGCCTTTAAATGTCACTTTAAGCTGTATAGAAGTGTCTTGAAAAATATCTAGCCAAATGTTATTTACTGTCATCATGGCAAAGATAAAATAAATCTGTTATTAGAAACGAGTTATTAAAACTATTTTAATTAAAAATGTAAGAAAATCTTCTTTCCGTTAAACAGAAATTGGGGAATAAAATAAACAGGGGGGCTAATAATTCTGACTAACTGTATATAAAATGAATGTGTAACATTAATAACTATATTACTAGTGTGCAGGTCAAATATGAGACGTTTAATTTTGCCGTTCATTTTGGCTTGCTTAACTGTGTAATTTTGGCTCACTTAAATGTGCCTACCCGAGACCCACAGCGAGGATGTGTGAGAGGACCAGAGAGGGCAGGAAGACTTTGAGGAACTCAGCAGAGAAGATTCCTCCTTTCTTCATCACACTGGTGTTCCTCATGCTGAGTGTGCTGGAGCGCTTCGGGTGCCGCAGCAGAAACTCCCTGCAAAACACACCACTTGCTTACAGCTATGCGGAGATCCAGGTACTTTATATTTGTATAAGTACATTTGAAGTCAGAATTATTAGCCCTTCTGAATTATTTTCCTCTGTATGCCCTGCGCACCAGAACAGCCCGACACAGAAACAGTTTCTTCCCTCAGGCAATCCATCTCATGAACACTTGATAATAATAATTGTCGAACCAACATCACTACTTGCCATAAACGTTTATACACATATACAGTTATTTAACAACACACTTTACATGCCACTTTGCACATAACAGCTGCATATATAACATTGTATATAGTAATATAGCTCTACATACACTTCTATTTGTATATTTGCATTCACAACTTACTGCTTTTTTATATATTTATTATATCTTTTTTTTTTTGTCCTGTCTTTTTAATTCTGTTGCACTGTAGAAGCTATGTCACGAAAACAAATTCCTCGTATGTGCGAACATACCTGGCAATAAAGCTCATTCTGATTCTGTATTTTTTTTCCCAATTTCTATCAACATATTTCTAAACATAATAGTTTAATAACTCATTACTAATAACTGATTTCTTTTATCTTTGCCATGATGACAGGACATAATATATTACTAGATATAACTAGGACTTGACTAGGTTAATTAAGCAAGTTAGGGTTGAAGGATTCGGATTTATGCCTTCCAATCCGTCTCAGCATGGATCAACGATTATCCTTTTCTCATCATCCTGTTCCTCATTATTTTTATTAAATATAATTATTTGATCATTTGAATGAGTATTAAACTTTGAAAATGATTTGAACCAATGAATAAGTAACACACTGCTTTATGTAAGAATCTTCAGTGTACTTGCTCCTCTCTTTGCCTGTCTATTTTAACTTTGTTTTCAGGAGACACACAAAAACCAGGTCATGGGTCATGGAGACCTCTCTCTCTCCCGATGTCCTTCTGAATGGAATCTTTGATAAAACTGCAAACTATCTTCAGTAAACTTCATTTATTTATTTGAATCTCTGACTCCGGTTCTTCTTCATCTGTCAGACTGCTCATTCTGTAAACTATCCCTACAGGGTAATTTGGCAAGTCATTGTATAACAGTGGTTTGTTCTTTAGACAATTGAAAACAAATATTGCTTAAGGGGGCTAATAATATTGACTGTAAAATGATTACAAACTGCTTTTATTCTAGCCGAAATAAACAAATAAGACTTTTTTCCAGAGGAAAAAATATTATAGAAAATATCGTGAAAAATCCCTTGTTCCATTAAACATCATTTGGGAAATCTTTGAACAATACATTCACAGGAGGGCTAATCATTTTGACTTCAACTGCATGTGTTCATTTACAGTGACTATAGAAAGTCATCAGACCCTGTGAAAATCTATACCTTTACTCACATTACACCCTGCTTTCGAAAGACCTTCAGAATAAAGTCATAGAAAGGCACAGATGAGGAGAAGGCTACAAAAGTTGATAGTTATTTGGGACGTGATTTGATTGCAGGTTAATTGACAATTTAAGTCATTGTTTTAAATAAGTATGATGATTTCCTATAGGCACTGTATATATCTTTTGGGTTTATATACTTGGGTGGCAGGTTTTCTGGGCGACTCGACCAGTCCCAGATCCAATCAGCATTTTTCTTCATCAGGATCTCCACCTCTTTTCTCCTCTCCAAATAGTCTTCCTCTGACTTGAATAAGACCGAAAACAAATTTAGGATGATGTAAAGTGTACATGAAAACAGTAGTTCACCTTTAATTAGAAAATAATTAAGTGATAGTTCACTCAAAAAATAAAAACAAAAGCCCCTTTCACACAGTGATACCAGTAAATATCTGGAAAATTTCCGGAACGACTTAACCTGTAAATTCAAAAAAGCACTGTTCACACAGGCGAGGATGATACGGATTTTTTTCAGGAGAAGACCGTTCACACACTTATTCCAAAAATACCGGTAAATTCTGGCATCATTAAGCAGAAATGAGCTCTGAATGGCTGCGCTTGTATTTGTACAAATCTGAATTCATTACAAACTCTGTGGATGGATAAGTATTGTTAACAACTTGGATGAAAACATATGGAGGAACACTTTCACATGTCAAGATGTTTGTAATATGTGTGTGTGCTGGAGCTCGTCGGCTGCTTTACATGCACAAGCGTCGGAGCTTGAAGGTAAACAAACAGCGGTTTATCATAAGTATTTTATCGATATCTTTTTACACAGTTGGCATTAAGAAGGAGCATATAAATGTTATCTGACTAATATCTAGCAGCTAAATGTGTCTGGAAATATATTCACAGGCTTTTGTTCTCATAAACCGTGTGGACGTGAATGCGTTTGAGTGTTCTGATTGGCTAAAGTAGACGTCTCACGTCTGCACGTTTTAGATGTGCACGCGCTCTTTTTGGCATTCTTTCTTCTGCGTTCACAAAGCGCAGCATTTCTGCAAATTACCGGTAATGTTACAACTTCTCTTTCCAGAAAATAGCCAAAACGAATATATCGGTATTTTCGAAAAGGGCCTGTTCACACATACAGACCTTTCCGGAAAATTGCCGGTAATTTTCCGGAAAGGTCTGTATGTGTCTGTTTAGTTTTAGTTTGACTTTATTAATCCCCGGAGGGAAATTCACATGTCACAGCAGAGCTCTCCATACTAAAAATAGATAAATAAGTTACATGCATATAAAAACAATAATAAGATTACATTTCATACTGCACACCTTGGTTCCAAAAACAACGAGTAAACACTTGTACATATCTAATATCTAATTCAAGTTCAGCACAATTCATCTGGTATGACTTTGGTTATACAATCTGATCACTGTTGGTAAAAAAGACTTCCTGTATCTTTCTCTGTAGCACCGGGGTTGAATTAATCTTGTACTAAAAGAGCTTGCACACGCTTGGACTGTATCAAAAAGGGGATGACTATCGTGGTTCATTATACTAACAAATTTGTCCAGCATTCGATCCTGTGCAATCTCTTCTATGGTAGGTAGTGCACACCCCACAACAGAACCTGCCCTTTTTATCAGCTTATTTAATTTGTTTTTCTCCTTCTCCAACAGTCCCCCTCCCCAGCAGGTTACAGCATACAGAATCACAGAAGACACCACAGAGTCATAAAAAGTTTTTAACAGTGTCTGACACGCACCAAAGGACCTCAGTCGTCTTAATAAATGAATGCGGCTCTGACCCTTCTTATACACCTGGATTGTGTTTTCAGACCAATCGAGCTTGTTGTTCAAATATACACCCAGGCACCTATATGACGAAACGATCTCAATTTCTGACTCGTGTATAATTACGGGCAGCGCTTGTGATGGATGTCTACTAAAATCAACAATAATTTCTTTGGTCTTACTAGTGTTTAATTTAAGACAATTCATATCACACCAGTCAGCAAAACTTTTTAAAAGCAACCTATACTCACTCTCAGGAAGCTATTGTCATCTTCTCACCCCTGACTTTTTAGAAAAAGTTTTCTTTTTTCCTTTCTTTTCTTTTCCACAAAGAAAGATGCTGAGGAATTTTAGAAACTGGTAACGCTTGACTTCCATAGTATTTGTTTTTCCTATCTTCCTTTGTGTTTAACAGGACAAGTCAAGGGGGAATAATGATGACAGAATTTTCATTTTTGAGTGAACTATCCCTTTAAATACAAACATATTTTTTATCAAATCCTATTAATATTTACCTGTGAGCTGTTTTTTTCCCCAGAGCTGTGGACCTCGGAGCCCCTGCACAAGTGCAAAGGAGTCTGGGATCTTGGAGGACTGGTAAAAAAAAAATAAAAATAACAATAATATAATCATTTCACCATGCACATCCTGTAATCTTACAATACATTTAAAGTTTTTGTGCTGACCTGTCACATGGTAGGCTTCCTCTGGAGCTGCTCCGACCCGACTCGTGCTGAGCATCCAGAAGCATCTTCTCCAGGTCTCCGCTCGGGGCCGTGCTAGCTGACTGTTCATCTGTGGCTGCTTTAGAAGTGCTGCCTCCCCCATTATTAAAATGCAGCTCCACCCAAGAACCTGAAGAAAAGCCAAATAACATCCTTGTTTTATTATGGTTCTTGTATTTAAACAGCTGTCTGGAATACTCAATTCTGATTGGTCAGTTGTGACATTCCTGGGTATGTTATTCCTTGATTACAAACTCTGAATACATTTATATTTAATATGTTCCTTGTTATTAAACAGCTGTCTGGAATACTCAATTCTGATTGGTCAGTCACGACATTCAAGGGTGAGTTATTCCTTGATAACAACCACTAAATACATTTACATCTAATATGGTCCTTGTTATTGAACAGCTGTCTGGAAAACTCTATTCTGATCGGTCCGTCGTGATATTACAAGGTATGTTATTTCTTGATACCAATCCCTAAATACATTTACATTTCATATGGTCCTTGTATTTAAACAGCTGTCTGGAATACTAGATTCTGATTGGTCAGTCATGATATTACAAGGCATGTTATTCCTTGATAACAACCGCTAAATACATTACATTTCATATGGTCCTTATTATTAAACAGCTGTCTGGAATACTCTATTCTGATTGGTCAGTTATGACATTCAAAGCTAAGTTATTCTTTGATAACAACCGGTAACTACATTTACATTTAATATGGTCCTTGTAAATAAACAAGAGTCTGGAATACTCAATTCTAATTGGTCAGTCGTGATATTTTAAGGTATGTTATACCATGATAACAGCCGCTAAATACATTTACATTTCATATGGTCCTTATTATTAAACAGCTGTCTGGAATACTAAATTCTGATTGGTCAGTCATGATATTACAAGGCATGTTATTCCTTGATAACAACCGCTAAATACATTACATTTCATATGGTCCTTATTATTAAACAGCTGTCTGGAATTCTAAATTCTGATTGGTCAGTCATGATATTACAAGGCATGTTATTCCTTGATAACAACTGCTAAATACATTACATTTCATATGGTCCTTATTATTAAACAGCTGTCTGGAATACTCGATTCTGGTTGGTCAGTCATGACATTCAAAGTTATGTTATTCCTTGATAACAACCACTAAATACATTTACATTTAATAAGGTTCTTGTATTTAAACGGCAGTCTGGAATACTTGTTTCTGATTGGTTAGTTGCGATATTCCAAGGTATGTTATTCCTTGATAATGTCAGAAATTGCATACTTCCGCACTATATATAGTACATTAAAAACAGTATGTGAGCCGAGTATTATGTCCAAATTCAGAGAAGCACCTGGAGAACCTACTACTTCCAGTGAGATTCTGATGTGCACATCCAATGGATGATATGCTATCCCATAATGTCATGTTAGAGAATTCCTGAATGTGAGTGAAGCGATGCAATATGAGGTCACATGATAATGACAAATGCCGGATGTAGTACGTCTGAATTCCATTTATACTACTCGCATTCATACTATATAGAACATCCATTACCTACTGAGAAGTAGGCAAATTCGGATGCAGCCATCAATGGCCCACTAGGCGAGCCGGGCCTTTTACCCATTTAAAGTTTGAGAATAGGTTGAGGCTGTTTCGGCCCCAAGGCCTCTAGTCATTGGCTTTACCAGATTAAACTGCTTGACCTGCAAGCGTCAGCTATCCTGTGGGAAACTTCGGAGAGAACCAGTTACTAGACAGTTTGATTAGTCTTTCACCCCTATGCCCAGGTCAGATGACCGATTTGCACGTCAGGACCACGGCAGGCCTCCATCTAGCAGTTGAAAGTAGTTTTTTTAAATGGCAAAGAAAATTATTTCACTTCATAAGGCCTCAATGTTTACAGAGAGGTATTCATTTTGTTTTGCCTGAATGTTTAGCTTTGACTCTCCAAATTCTGGTAGCTGTTGACTTATATCTAGGCCCACATGTAATCTGCATCCGCAGAAATCTGCAGACTTCTGCATATATTTAGCCCATCGAGTCTATGTATTTACTTGTGTAAATGTGTGTAATTTTATATTTATACAGTTTTTAATTTCACTAATATTATTGTAATTATAATGATAGTAATATTAAAATGTTGATATGATTTATTAACAATACAGTTTGTAAAGTAATATTTTCTGTCTTTGAGTAAATATATTATAGGAGAGACTTGCTTTGTTTACCAAATAAGTAGATCTAATTGAATTTGCATTGTAAACATTAAATAAAAGTTAAAAGTGTATTATTTTTTATTTTTAAATTTGCTGCAAAAATATCAACAAATGTCTGCAGATTTTGTCTGGCCCTATATCTTAAGATTCAATACTGACCACATTTTCTTTAATGAGGAGTCATCATTATCTTTGATGGAGTCAAGGTAATGTAACACAAATTTTGTTTTTGAGTGTCCCTTTAAAGGTAAATATTTGTTGCAGTTTATCAAATTTAAAGCACTTTTCATGCCTTTATCTTTCCTGAGAATCAAAGTATAGCAAGCATAACAACATGTCATAACCTGTTTATAATATTCGATTTACTTGACATTGAAAACTGGGCTGGGAATGAATCAGTGATCATGACACAGTAGCCAGAAAATCCAGATAAACACAGAACATGCCTGCACTTGAGACTCAACCCATGAGCCTGAGGAAAATAAACAAAGCTTTGGCTATAAATAGCTCATTATGTCGGGTCATTTTTTTTCTGACATCATCCAATGAAAACAGGCTGTTCAATCCCCACCTCTGTAGAATTCAGACGCGGAATCCGCCTTCTTTCTGTGAATCGATTCTTTCAGGCGGTTCATTTCCAAGAACAATGGTTTAATGATTCTTTTCGTCATGCAGTGGTCCCATACATACCCCAAATGATTTTTTTATGTTTAAATATTACATAATAACATACAATAGTGTTAATTAACATTTACTCAAAATATGAACTGACCACAAACAATCAAACATGTCGTTTCCTTAAGTTTATATGTTTTATTATATGTTGTATTTCAATACGTTAACTTGTTTTTAAGCTTACTAAATTAAATTATTATCCCGTTTTGGAGATGGTTATTAGTAAATATAATTTAAAGCCTCTCGGATTCGTTTGTTAATTCGACTCATTGGTATTCAATCAAGTTCAAAAGAAACGATTCCAAATCTGATGCGTTCAAAAGAGTCGGTTCTCCGTCCATTTAGTAGTCGAGCTGTTTAAAAGATCCGACTCCGAAGAATGATTCATTAACGATTCAGAGTTTGCTTCGCGTCTGTGTTTATTATTGCGGATCACATGCGTCATTTTTGTGGTTTGTACACACACACACACACACACACACACACCTGCTTCATCTTGTCAAATATTAATATAAAAGACTAAGGTGAAAGAACATCGTTTAATATACGTATGTAACTGTAAATATTCCCCAAACATGCATTTACATGGTAACAATGTGCGTTTTAGAGGAGAAACATGCACAAAACGAGCGTTAACCGGAGTTGTTTTGATATCTACATACCCTGAAGGTTTTCTTCAGACACGCTGTGCTTTTCAATCGACATTTTTGTTTCTTTCACCAACAAAAGGACGATTCACCTCCGTTTAAATCCTTAAAAATTCAGTCGATAGATACAGAAACGCAGTGTTATCCAGAGACATGGGTCGCCCCACGAGTAAAACGAGGTGTTTGTCGATGAGACAGCGCTCTGTTAGATATATTCTGCACGTCCAGCACAATAAACCGCATGTGGATTCATGTGACAGAATTGGTTCGGGATCTTTATTCCATGAATCCACACAGCTGGTGGTGACGCAACATGCGGCTGTCCTATGGATGGAAATATAGGGCAAACAGAAAGACAACAAAACTGGCACCCTGGCACAAGGGTTGCCAGATTGAGCCAACTCTACTCTTAATTGTTGCCAGATTGAGCACATTCCTTCTCCAGGTCTGGGACCCAATCTGTAGAACTCAACTTTTTAAATTATTTTTGTGTGTTTAATTAGTTTTTATAGTTTTTTTTTTGTTATTATTGTCATTGCAAAAATATTTGTAATATTCTTTTTAAGTTTGTTTATGATTAGATTTAACCTAAACATATATATTTGTGCATTAAGTAGTATGTACCTTTTTATTATTTTTTTCAGGTGGTTCGAAAGACAAAGAAATTTTCCAGAGTTTGTTTTATACATTTGTGACATTTTTACAGCTATTCGGTAATAAACTGTGAAAATAACTAATTGGAGAATGCTTTAAGACCAAGAGGAATTCTGTATTGGCTGTTGCTTCGGCATGGCTGAGGAAAGTTAAATGTGCTGGCCAGTTTGTTAATAGTGACAATAGGCTGGTTTTCATTTAAGACTTAAACAGATTCCTATTTTCATCTAATGATATATAATATAATACATTTGAATAAAAAAATTAAGTATAGTTCTTATAATTCTGTATTCTAAATGTTTAGGAAATGTTTTTGACCCATAAAAAGTGTGCTTATGAAGACCATCCGACTAGCTAATGCGGCTAAAAATAGTGCTTAACATGTCACTAAAATGCTTTATTTAAACATTTTAATTAAATAGAAAATAAGGTGTATAACTGCAAAAAAGTCCACTCTTCGCGGACAAAACTAAAGAATAAGATGCAATACTAACAGAACTTCTGTTTTTTTTCTTCTTTTTTGATATTGCAGATATTTGCTCAACCAGTGACGCTTTATATGTGGACTATTACTTTGGCCCAAAACTTGCAGGTACACTGTCAAAAAAAAAGGTACAGTGAGGGTACAAATTTGTTCCTAGAGGGAACAAAATAAATAATTGCACCTTTTTAAGGTCCCAAATTGGTCCTTAGGGTACAATTTTGTACCCAAATGGGCTATAAAGTTACAAACGATCAGATTTAGGTTTGAAAGGTGCATTTTTGTACCTTTTATAGCACATTTGGGTACAAAATTGAATCCTAAAGGACCAATTTGGCACCTTTAAAGGTACAATTTTATATTTTGTTCCCCATTAGGAATCATGAGATCAAACCCTATATACATGTAACACATATTTAAATGTATTAATACTAAACATTAATACTAAAATACATAATTTAAAAATATAAAGTTATTGAATTGATTGAATTAAATATTTTAATAATTTAATTTTTTTCATGTTTTCAAATAAATTTTTTCCTCAAAAAATATGTATATGTATAATTGAGTGTAATTTTAATCACTAAAAACTTAAATACTGATCTTTGCATAACTAATTGCTTAAGACCCTAAATGAGATTTAGAATAAGGACCATGCAGAGTGGCAACATCCTCATTTAGGTGTTGCTGCTGTCTCTTTAAGAAAATTTGGCTTGCTGAGACGTTAGTAGAGTTTGTTACTGAGGTGGTCGAGAATGCTGGCTGTTAGCACAGAACTCTGCATGCAGTCACCAAAGGATCAAAATGCCTGAGTCGGCACCCTGAAAATGCTATATAATATAATAAGGTACATTTTTGAACCTTCAGTGTCTACAATTTTGTTCCTTGGGGGTACAAAATTGTTCCTTAAATAATACAAATGTAGAAGGTACAATTTTGTACCTCTAAATAGAGGTACAAAATTGTACCCTTTAGAGTACCATGCCAGTGATAGACCACTTGTACCCTAAAAGGTACAATTTTGTACCTTTTCTTCTGAGAGTGTATGCATAAAAAAATATTTAGCACATACATAAGGCACTACACCTTTAACATCATTCCTCTTATTTTTTATTTGAGCTCTCCATCGCCCCCTGTATGACTGGAGTGTACATCACAGCTCTACACCAAAATAACATCTCACTCTGCAGCATTATTAAAGCCTGTGCTCAATGATACAGTTTCCATCATCACCCATATGAACTAAACTAGCTGAATCCTTTCAAAACAACAAGGCAAAAAATCAAATAATCAATGCACATACACACACAGAGACACACAGCCTGCATAGAGCTTGAGTGTTATTTAATGATGACGTGATGTTGTGAGATGCAGTAGCAGTGCACTGACCAGCGGGCGGCTACATTCTCTTCTTTTTTCTGTATCTCTCTCCATCACAGGATACAAGCCAGGCTTCACGCATCCCGCAGAACTAGTGTGTATGCATGCATGCGTGCGTGCATATGTGTGTGTGTGATTTCAGCTCCTCCGCCAGCATCATCCCTCGCTCTCCATCAGGGATGCTAAGGGAGTGTTTATGGTAAGTGCAAGAAATCATATCTCTCCTCTACCATGCAATAGCTCCCCCTATTCCTCCTTGTTTTTTTTTCCATGGTGATCCATCACTACCGGCTTCAGTATTGCTATAGGCGACTCACTTCTGCTGTGCATCATCTTTAATAATTGAATTATTTGTTGCTTGCAATTCAATCAAGACATGACAACATGTATGTCAATTGTATTTTCAGAGCATGTGCTGCGAATCACACGGCATGATGGAGGACCAGCAGCTCCCCGGATAAACACTGCAGACTCCCAACAACAACCACAACTCCAATCATGCACTTAAGGTCAGTCTCAATCTGTGTGCTTTGAATTCAGCGTCGTTTCCAGATAACCCTCCTCCATGGCTGTGTTAGTAAGGGGATCGAATGATGCTTTTAGCTGTTATACAGCCTCGCGTGCGCAGGGAGGAGTAAACGATGTGTCTTTGCCCACTGGGATGTTTGTTGAAATGTTCTGGAGAGCCATCTGCGATGCAAACCAGGCTGCTTGACGTCTATTTTCTTCTAATGCCTGCCAGAGATGCTGTATTTAGGATGCAAGCGACCAATGACGAGATCTGCATTGAGATTTTTGTTTTACTTTAGGGGGTTTTTGAGCATGCAATCATCAGCATGAGGTATGAAACAAGGGGTTTGTAAGTTTTGAGAAAAGGCAATGATGGTAATGTAAAGAGGATTGGGATTCTGAGTAGATATCACTTTGAATATGAGTTTGAGGTACAGGTTGCCTGATATTGATGATACACTCAAAAAATGATGCTTGCTGTTTGTTTCAGCTACTTATTAATATCAACAGTGCCGAATCAACACAATTCTTGATTTTGTTTTGAGTGGACAACTTAATTGCTTTATGTTCAATCCACTTCAATTTATAAAAGCTAATAAGTTAACTTAATTCCTTCATGTTGTCCCAACTCAACTCGATTGTGTGGAACCCAACGTTTCTTGCAGTGTCAAGCTGCGGTCCCATTGGAGTTTCCTCCCTATAGACTTCCATTCATACGCACGTGAAGGCGTCAGACCAGAAACGCAAGCTTGTGCGTCAAATTTCGCAGATCGCTGCTTTGGAAAGTTTAAGCTTGGTGAACTCTGACCTGCGTTGTGTGAAAATATTGTCGCAATAGCCTAGTGGTTAGCACGCCGACATATGGTGCAATAGCATGTCAGGGCGTCGTGAGTTCGAATCCCGGCTCGAAGACATTTCCCTACCATACCCCCTATCTCTCTCTCTCCCACTTTGCTTCCTGTCTCGATACTGTCTTATCTATTAAAGGCAAAAAGGCCAAAAATAAATCTTTAAAAAAAAGAAAAAAAAAAAAGAAAGAAATCGTGTGAATATTAAAGCAACTTCAGCTCAATAAAGCAGGTTAGGCGGAATAGCGCTATTTACTGATGTTTTGTTGTTAAACTAAATAAAAATCGACGTTATCGATGCTGTCAAAGGTCCATTATGAAACTGAAAATAGTCACATTAATCTTTCGCTGGTAGATTTCAGTGACTGAGCAACACTCCTGTGCATATAACACAACACGATCTAACATAAGCTTAGCCTGACTAAAATAGTTTTAAAACAGAACATTACCTGTCTAACCGTAATACTTCATAGTGTCGTCCTCCCTCCAGCATGCAAAAGTAACTCCAATACTGATTCAGGATTTTCAAAAGTTCCAATTAAGGATTTGATTTCACCGCATCTGTGATTGTCTCGTGAACGCGCAGCGCTCATGCAGGCGGGCACACTCGAATGGTGCATCTTCATGAACAGATGCGCAGAAGTCCGAATCTACATCTGCTGACAGACAGTTTGAGCTACTTTTCGGTATTATGGGAGATGTCGGCCCGACAATATTTAATTGAATGAACATTTTTTAGTTTTCTGCTTCTCCCAGAATATAAAAATTAGAGATGTGAACCTATACTGGTCTCACGGTTCGGTTACGATTATCATGCCTTCGATTCGGTTCAATTCGATATCTCGGTGCATCACGGTGCATTGACGATGCTTTCCATATACAGTGTTATATTTTAGGGGGGAGGCTATAACAAGCTGTCTGTATAAACACACAGACACACGGCACCACACTGTCTCTCATTCAAACACATTCACAAACATTGACAGCACCAAAGAAACACACACACACACACACACACACACACACACTTAAGCCCTCGCAACAGGGAGAGCTCGCGCTGGGCGGAGCAGAAAAACGAAAAAAAGAAGCACTTTTCCGACAGTCCCTTACTGAGAGCTCCTCTCAGCTCGAGCTCTCCCGGCTAAACACATATTGCGAGGGCTTAAACGGAGCAGTGCTCGTAATGTCGAGCGAAAAAAAAAAAAGAAAGACAGCTGTGAAACAACCAGCTTTGTCTTTTTGTAGGAAACACACTTTAGATCTTTTTAGGGTAAGAGGTTTTTGAGTTATTGCCGTCTATAACTGAATGTGTGTCAGGAATATCGAAAACAAAACCAACTGAACCGCGCTCATTTCTGGCGCCCCCCTGGATATACAAGCGCCCTTAGCATTTGCCTATGGTGCCTATGCCACGGGCCGGCCCTGAGTTGGCTGTGTGTTGTAAATACTCTTGCTCACCTCCCTCGCGACAGAGCGCATAGGAGATAAATGACGTCAGTAAATAATAACCGGTTATGATTATTTCTGAACCGATACCTTAGTCCGTGTCTGCATCGCGGTGCACCGAAGAAACAGTTAAATTTGACACCCCTAATAAAAATACATATACATTTTTTTATATCATTTACTATAATCATTACTATTGGACTGTGAAGAGACTTTCAACCAGCACAACAAAAAATGTTTCTGAAGACGATCACCTACTGCACCTTTAACAGTGGGAATTGGTACTTCAACTAAAGTGTGACCTATTTATTATTATTATTATTAAGTTATACTGTATCCTGATTTGGGCAACACAGTGGTTAGCACTGTCGCCTCCCAGTTAGAAGGTCACTGGTTAAAGCCACAGCTGGGCCACTTGGCATTTCTGTATGGAGTTTGCATGTTCTCCCTATTTTGGTGTGGGTTTCCTCCTGGTGCTCCGGTTTCCCCCACAGTCCAAAGACATGCGCTGTAGAAAAATGTACACGTGTGTGTGAAGGAGTGTGTATGGATGTTCCCCAAGTAGCAGCTGAAAGGGTGTCAACTGTGCAAAACATTTGCTGTTATAGTTGGCGGTTCATTCGGCTGTGGCGACCCCTGATGAATAAAGCGACTTAGCCGAAGGGGAATGAATGAATGTATCCTGTTTCACATTATTGGAGAGCATGCAAATGATGATAAATATGCTTGTTATGCTATATATAATATTTAATATGCCATCTGTGTATATAAAAATCACTTTTATAAATGTAATTTCACGCTGACTGCTAGTTGGGACCTAAATGGGATGTCTCCTTTTTGACCCATATACAGTTAAAGTCAGAATTATTAGCCCCCCTTAGATTTTTTTTTTCTCTCTCTTTTAAATATTTCCCAAATTATGTTTAACAGAGCAAGGAAATATTCACAGATAGTTTGATATATATATATATATATATATATATATATATATATATATATATATATATATATATATATAAATTATTTTATTTTTTTTTTGATAGTCTACAGAACAAACCATCATTATACAATAACTTGCCTAATTACCCTAACCTGCCTAATTAACCTAGTTAAGCCACTAAGTGTCTTGAAAAATATCTAGTCAAATATTCTTCACTGTCATCTTGGCAAAGATAAAGGAAATCAGTTACTGGAAATGAAGTATTAAAAATGTTCAGAAATGTGTTGAAAAAAATCATCTCTGTTAAAAAGAAATTGGAGAAAAAAATAAACAGGGGGCTAATAATTCTGACTTCAACTGTATACTATATAAATAAAAAATACATCCAGATTTTATGTATTTACAGTAATCATTCATCATTGTTCATAAAACAGCACTGTGTGAATCCAGTAATAAATCTGTGTAATGCATAATCTGAACACAAATATTAAACGGTATCAACATGTAGGATGGCTTTATTGCTTATTGCTTTTATTTGTAGCATTAGATAAGTTAAATATGACAGCGCTTCTTTAAATAATAATAATGGAAAGAGGATGAAGTTTTTTTTTATTAGATGTCACTTTGAAAATGAGTTTGACTACAGGAAATAGGGTCATTTTATATTTAAAGGTACAATTCACGCTATCATCAAACCATACACTAAAACTTAGCTTAATAAAGTATAAATTGTTGCTTGTTATTAGTTAGTAAGGAGTTGGATTTAGACAGTGGTGGAAAGAGTACTGAAAAATCATACTCAAGTAAAAGTAACATTACTTGTCTAAAAATGTTGTGCGAGTAGAGTAAAAGTTTCTGTTGTAAATATTACTTAAAGTATAAGTAAAAAGTAAACCTTTTAAAAGTACTCAAGAGTAGTGAGTATTACACTGTAAAAAGCTGATGCATTTACATGTAATTTGTGGATGTGTGTATACGGGTGTATACGTAACATTCTGTAGTGCATTTAGTATTTGCACAGCAGGCACACAACGTCCTAAGACCTTAATATTAGGTTAGATTTAGGCTGTGATGTCAAGTGACCAAAATTCTATGTCTACCCAGCGTCTAAGGACAGTTATTTTGATGTCCAATAATGACAAAAAAACGACTTTAATATACGGTCAATTTTATGTTGTTAGAAAGTGACCAAAATCCAACATTGAGCCAACATCTTAAACCAACATCATATTGATGTCAAATACTGATATTTATTCATCAAGTATGACAACCAAAATCCAACATCAAAGAGGAGACATCCTATTTAGGTCCCAATTAGCTGTCAGCGTCAAATTACATTTATAAAAGTGATTATATATAGATAGAATAACAAATGCAAGTGTTAAAAGCATAAGAATCATCATGAATCATCATTTGCATGCTCTCCTGTTTTTTTAAAACAACATACAGTACAAACCAATTCAAAGTGGTCATGCATTGGTCCATGAACATTTCCTGCTTGTGATTAAACTATTTCATAACTCTAACAAGAGGCAATTCAATCATAACGTAACCTTAAAACAGCTATCAAAGGATTATTTATTGATATGTGGCTCTTTTTAGATTCTCAGAAGCTGTAGAAATAAATAAAAAATTTAAAACAGGAAATATGCTGGCACCATTGTTTTTGTTTAAATAGCATAGTAAATTTGACAGCATTTTAGCATAAGCAACAATTGCTACTATATACTGGCTTACTCAGAAACACAGGAGCTGTCACTGGGGT